TAGGGCTCAAAAAAAGTTCTTACTTTCTCAATGAAGCTCGAGAGGTAGAAAATGTTTTCATCGATCCTTGAAGGGAAAAAGCTCTCAACATTTGAGAAAATGGCATTTACTTACCCAGCTTTCGTGTTGGTACAGTGGGCAAAGATTCTCACCATTTCTGGAAGGTAGTAAGCACGGTGTACTGCTAGGACTTTGGTGCCAAGTAATCTTTTATGGAGGAGTGAAAGCCAAAAATCCTGCATGGATACAATCATGTTTACGCAAGTCCAATCTTCTTAACACCTTTGGTTACTTACAATGGTCCACTTAGAACAAAGCAGTGTTTATTAGAAGTTACAAAACAAACGAATTGGGTCCGTCCTGTGGTACAAAGTTGATAAAAACTGCTTAATGGTGTTGTTCTTTTTGTCAAATTATTATCAGAATCTGGAGATGATATTGTCCTGATTATGGGTTAGGGGTTAGAAGAATACGTTGGCCTGGTTGTATTTGATATTCGAAATCACGAGGTCCAACTGTACCAGTTTGAAGAGTAACNCTCTGAGATTTTCCCGTAAAGACCTGACTCTCGGTTGATAAGTAGTTGATCTTCAATTTCATATTGTTTCCGAGTAATTCAAACATCATTTTGAGGGCAAAAGGGCAAAACTTTGAGGGCTTATAAAGTCGTCAGTTTTTTTTCCTTTAAGTCTCAAACTGTGGAACCGTGTATTCCAGGTGATAAATTTCTAACTAAGCAAAACATTAGCACTTTCATTAGGACTTTCAACGAGTAAAACAAACGTCAAATGCTGTGCAATTGGTAAGCATCTGAAAGAATACAACAATCTGCTTGCAGCAAAGATAAACGATGGAGTATATTGTTTAACAATTTGAAGTATAAAATAATTATACTTACTGATGCCAAGTCACAGCATCAATGAAAGTATGTCCTTTTGCAAGAAACCTGCGAAGAAATAAGAAGAACAACATTGTTGTGAAGCCTGACCTCATTAACTCAAATAGTCTTCTTAATCATTTCAAGGTAATAATGTTTTCAAATGAACTGAAAATAAATGCATTGTCATAAGAAATCAAAACTCAGTTCAGGAAAACGAAAAAAACCATATGGCAGCATCGTGCACTGGGGCTATGTGACTTGTGTCATTGCAACAAAACTGTGACACAATCTCTACACAAAAAAATAGAAAAGTGTTTCCGAACCCAATATGCTTTTTGGAAAACTTTTCATTACAATTCTATCACCGATTAATAGCCAATCAGCGAAGCTCTATTGGAAATCCGGAAATCTGAGTGGTTCTCACGTCGTTTTCTATTCGCTGTTAGTAGAATACTGCTAGTTTACTAATGCAAATGCTGCAATCTGATTGGCTTGGCTACTTCTATACTATCTCGAGCCCATAATCTAGCTATTAAATAGACAACGATCGCCCGCGCTGTTCTTAAAACTGAAAATAATTCTTCATTTTAGGCTTAATAGTCGCCTCGTACTCAGAGAAAACTTGGGTTCGTAGTCTAACCGCAATTGTAACATATTCAAAAAATAATTTCTGTGTGGTTGAAGTTATCAAAAATTGTGCGTTATTCTTGGAAAAGTTGCATGCACTTCCTTAGTGACATCTAACCTCACCTTTTTAAAAATTCCATTGCATTTCCTCTTGGCTGTGTTACATCTGGTCCAACAAGGAAATTATCAACCCCAGAAAATCTTGATAAGTGTTTCCTAAGTGTTGCAAAGTCTTCAGCAAGCTGGTCAGGCGAAATGGCAACATCGAGTTTTTTCTGAGGATGATTTAGCTCTGTTGCAACAGAGAAAAAATGCTTTTATTTCTACTTTCCATTGCTATAAAGCAGAGTGAGGCCTCTAGGGAAATTAGTGTATTGTACGGGTATGTCATTGTGTGCGTTGAAAAAAGAGAGAGAGAGAGAGAGAGAGAGAGAGAGAGAGAGTAAGTGATGTAAATGATGTAACTATAGACAGCAATGTGAGTAGTGCAAATAATGTAAAAAATATGTATATATTTAGCTCTTATTAACCTAGCAGGAGGTCGATCTGTATGAGAGAATCTTGACCGAGGTCGTGAGTACAGACCGAACGAAACAAGGTCTGTAGACACGACCGAGGTCAAGATTCTCCCATACAGACCGACTAAGCTCGGTTAATAAGATGTTTATTATATGGCAAACAAAGACATTTAATTCGTTTAATATAACTGGTTTTTAATAGCTGACATTTTGCTTGCGAACGGTGATCGGCTGAACTTAAATCTGCCAAATTTTGCTCGTCTTCTTTACGTTTTTTCTAATCAGGCTTTTTGGCGCTTTCATACCGTAAATAAATATTTTTAGTAGAAATTGTTAATAATTTACAAGTTATTGACCGTAAAATGTAAGCGGTCTAGACGCCGGTCTAGATGGGAAAATCTAGACCGCGGTCAAAATCAATTTCAACAATGAAATTCGTGAATTAGGTAGTTCCCAGTCCATGTGAGACCAAGTCATATGATAAATATGTATATATTTAAACAAAGAAAAAAAAACACAGAAGAAATCGTGTACATATTGTATTGCAAGAGTAGCGTTAAGTAGCGTGATGAAAGTAATGTAACGTTATGTAAGTAAAGTATGTACTTCGTGTAAGTGTCTTTATTAATGTTGATGATGTAAGTATTGCATTGTAAGTGGTGTGAGCACAGCAATATAAGTAGTGTAATTGATGTATTGTAAGATATGTGTAAGTAACGTCATATAACGTGTAGAGTATTCCATCTAAGTATCTTAATGTATACGTAATGTGAATATGGCATTGTAAGCAGTGTTAGTGTTCTTTGTGTGGCATTAAAAATAATCATACTATTAATAAAAATAAAGCAGAGAAATGGTTTTGAAAATCTTGTGGTCCTTCGCTTCGCGTCACAGGCAAGGCACGTATTATTAGTAATGATTGATTTACGAACTGGGTCCGTCGTTCATGTTAAGAGTTAAAGCAGTTGGGACTGATATTTTTTCCAGCAACAGCAAAAATGAATGCATATTGAATATCCGTAACAAACATTCCTGCATGGGAAATGTGACTGAAGAGAAGGTTCAGTTTAAAAATTCCCCATCGCCTCCCGTTGGAGTTTTCAGAATGGCCTCTTTACGTACTTCACCCTCTACAAAGTGTTCCTAGCCTGTTTCATTGAGGCTGACCACAAAAGAAAGCCGACACAGAACATTTTACTCGATTGCCCTGAATTGAAAAGAATTAGTTATTAAAACTGTGACTGATAATCAATACAACGAATTCCATTTAGTTGGATTCGATTTTAGAGAGGATGAAGGGAAGATGCAGATTATTCCTATGGTATTCCCTCTCGATTTACTTTTAGATCATTTTCTCCTACAGAAATAGAACGAGGGCCTGGAAATAAATATTGGTAGTCTAAAAGAACCCGTGGCTGCGTAGCACAGTAAACAGTTCAAAAGGTGTAACTAGTACTAATTCAGTGCTGAAATAAACTTAATTTATAGCAAACGTTTCGGGCCTAGCCCTTCCTCAGTGCTAAGTTTGAAACGAATTTAACTCATGTGAACAGCCATACAAATTAAAAGTACGTGATAACAGAAAGGACTGGATAATAATAACAACAACAACAACAACAACAACAACAACAACAACAACAACAATAATAATAATAATAATAATAATAACCAAACAATTATAAGGAGACTGCTAAAATTCTGGTCCTGAGTAAAAATTGTAGATATGCAGTAGCTAAAAATTGTTAAATCTAAAAAAGTTTAAAAAGTATACAAATACACTAAAATGCTAAGATAGAGTCAATAAACTGGATACCATTTCAAAAATAACTTAAGATTACCGTGTACCTTGAGAGGTGTCTCGCGTCCAAGCTATGTATGTGTCCGGCTAGCTTAATCTTTAGAAACCTAAACCCCCGTATCAAATTTAAGTTCATACAGCTAGCTATCAAACTATACCCAAAATTTTGAAATAAGATGAAAGATCGAATGTTTCACGACCTCTAAATGCGAGGGTCCGAATTTTTAGCAGTCTATATATATTTGTTTCATTTTCAAAATTTACTTTGACTCCTGGTATTTTATTTTTGTCCATTAATAATATAGGCTGTATAGCGGCATTTTCACATTTCCGTTACATTTTTACATCCCATGCACATATTGTGACCTATCAACGCCATAGAAAAAATTGCTTCAGAATGGTGTAATTTTTTAAAGTACGCATTTTTATTTTATTTTATTTTTCATAATCTTCTTTGTTATTTTGATTTTTTTAAATTAAAACATAAATAAAATAAAAAATGCATGAGAGTACAAAAGATTTGAGAAAATAAGAATTAAAAAAAAAATAACCTCCGCGGACCAGCAACGCCATAGACCACAATGCATCGCGAGTAAATGTATGATATCCCATAATCCTCCAGAAAGCTTTCTTTTTCAAAATGAGGAACTCAGAGTGGGAAGAAGATACAGAGCCAGAGAACGACCTTAAGGAGCAGGTTAGTCGTAACCTGCGACAATCTGCGACAATCTCGAACCTTCTTGTGTAGTGAGCGGTAACCCAGTAACCTTCCTGGCCCTTTCATTTCATTCTCCACAGCCTCTCTCACCTCGTCTATATCGACAAAGTAGTCAGTGTACCTGATCCCAAAATGATGGAGACGGCGGGATAGAGTCCTCAGGCTCCAAGAATACATCGGATATTTGGCTCTCATAGAGTCTACTATTTCAGATTGTCGCAGGTTACGACTAACCTGCTCCTTAA